TATTTTATGTGGCATAGAATTCTTGAAAATCTAAATTTTTCGATTTTAAAAGAAAAAAGGGTAATATTTTTTTTTGTGTATTGAACAATCGTAGGGGGTGAGCGCATTAAAATTCCGATTTTACCCTTTTTTGGAGCACCCTAATATACATACATACATACCTACAAGTCATTTGCATTCGTGCGTACAACTATCCATTTGAATTAAGGCACTCCATGCATGGTACACTAATTAAAGCTGTCATTCCAACAGAAGGAGAATCGTGTAAAGAAAAGTGCGTAATGTTCTGCAATGTCCTTAGAATGATGCAGATTTTCTCGAATTCTTGCAGGGCTTAATAAGCTGTTGGATGTTGGACCTAGCTTTGCTTATAGATCGTCATGAGCGTCTTAATATTAGGTCACAAATGGATTATCTTTTAGTTTTAAGTTGCATTTGGCGCCTCCTTACACTCAGAAAGAAGTCAGTTACTATAACCAAGTCATGTCTTGAATCATCATCCGATAATCAGATCAAAAATTTGTTTAGCACTTGAGCTTTGATGGACTTGGACGAGCCTAAGATATTGACCAAAAATTGTCATCTTTCACACAGATTGTTTTTAGAGCATTATGAACCATATTTTTGCTATAACCAATCAAAATTCTAAAAAAGCGGATTTTCGGCCCACTCTAATGCACATACATACTACTTACATTCCTACATTTATTAGAGCTGCTATGAAATGCATTCCTTAAGTGTTAACGAAACGAGCCAAATATTAAATAAATTTCAATGTAAAGAGTTAATTTCGTATGCCGGCCGGAGATGTTCTTCGAATTAATTAAGCTGATGAAATGGCCTTGTGTTGTATGCATGAAATGCATGAAAGGATTGGGATAATGGTTTTGGAAGTACTTAATTACATGCAAGCACACAAAACCTTGATTACAAAGCCGTATTAAAATCCATTTAGCAATGGTGTTGTTAATCATGAAATTACATTTAGACTATTTGCTAAGTACGCTCGCATGATCAAAGACAAATAAAAGTAGTAAATTAAATTAAAATAAATAAATACGTACATTAGGGCGGAGCAATTTAATTTCGAAAAAAGTGTATGTTATATTCGAATTCTACGTTTGATTCTAAGCAAAAATTTTGAAAAAACGATATACTAAAAATGACCTTCCCAATTGTTAATTTACAACATTTTGTGTTTTCTTCGTATTTAAGAAACTACTTGACAAAATCGAGTCAAAAAAAAAAATTCGGCTAAAAAAGTTACAATATACTGAGGTTGTTCACACTTGCCGAAGTGTTTTTGCCAACAAAAATATTATAAGTTAAAATTTTTTTGTGGTATACGGGAAGGTTTGGAGCAATACTAATGAGAACAAAATAATGGAAATTTGAATTTGGGTTAATGTCATAATGTCAGTTTGATAGGGCCATCATAGTCGGCACAATCTAAAAAAAACTTTGAAGAGAAAATAATGAAGTTTTTAAAATGTGATATAAAAGCAAACTAAAGGTTGGATTAGCTTTAAAACAATTGTATATGTGCGTTCGGGACGTTACGTTATGGACGTTACTCTTTTTTCCGTGAAACAAATGATTTTTTTAAAGCGATATTGTTGTATTTTATTAAAAGATATAGTGCTTAAAACCAATGCTTTTTAGAGCTTTGTTTCCAAAAGTAAGAGGGGGCAAATCAGGTTTCTCAAATAAATGTGAAAAGAAATATGAAATAAACTAACAAGTTATTTTTAAGCAATAAACAAAACCGACTTCAATTCTCACATAAAAATTTAAGATTTTCATTATTATATGCATGATAAAATGATCGGATTTAAACCAACCTCTGACGTAATACCTTTCGTTTAAAAAAAGAATTATAGAAATCGGTTAACGAGGTCCAAAGTTATGCGCTAACATACATAAAAAAAATATTCCGACGACCTAACCTTGAACCGTCTCCTCTTTGTGAAGTCGGTTAATAAGAACATGTTGTACTACATATGCCTTTTTTGACACAAAAATGAGTGAATTCGAATTGCATGCATTTTTTGAGATTTTGGTTGACTATTTCTCGGATTCGCCCACATATGTTTATACATACATATTTAATTTTTTTGTAATAATTTTTTTTTTTCAGTTCTTCACGCTACTATGAAAAGGCAGTTATGCAGAAATATGCGTCAAGCGATTACCTTTAATAAACTGTAAAAAAAATGTTGTCCCTTTCAGTACTTTTCGAGAAATTAATTTTTTAGTTCGTTTCCAGAATTTTAAACAGAAGTCGCAGAAAATGCAAATTCCACCCGCCAGCCAACTCAGCAATCGTTTAAAATTCCAAAAACCCACCGAAAACAATTTCTCTTCATCAGTAAGTAAAACGGAATTTACAAATGATAACAGAACGCTGGCAATAATAAACGCCTACAATGGCCAGAAAAGCAGCAGCAATAACAGCCACTACACACGCCGCACTGAATTCCGATAACAGGTGTTCCAACTGCAACGAGCAGAAATTTAAAGAGCCCTCTGAAACAAAGATGCCATCGCTGTTGGCGATATGAGCTTAGCTGAACCTGTATTTGACTTAAGCAACTTCTTAAGAAAACGACCATTCATTTGCTTACTTGCGCTTTCTTTACCTCCCCCTACCCTCTGCCCAACATGCTTTTGTGACGATGCATGTACGCGCGCACGTTCAATTGTAAATGGATTAGAAATTGAAATCACGTTTTTCCTTGTCATGGCGAGCGTGCATAAAATCATCCTGCATGGATGGTGGATCCGTCGCAAGCTGGTAAAGGTACATACATATGTAGGTATGTTTGTCGGTATGGTTGTAGCTGTTAGGCCACAGTGGTAAACAAAACAAAAAAAAAAAAACAAAAAACAACTGCTGTAAAAAGCTATTTTTCTTCTGGCCTATCAATTACATACTTCTCTGATCGCAGCTGGGAAGGCAGCCTTCAAAGTCAAGTAATTCTTTATCGGCTTTTCTTGGCTCTCCTGACTTACTTACCTAATGGTTTTCGGGTCAAAAATTTAATGATGCATGAAAATGTAAGTCGATATGTATATACATATATAAAAAATGTTGAAATAAAATACAGATGAAGTGAAAATATTTCAAATATGGCAGCGTCAACACTGCGCCTCTTACTTTCGGTCATTAAGCAATTTCCAACTGTCATTTCCATTTAAAGTTGACTTCCTCCTTTTCCTGCGTCAATGACTTGGGATTGTATGTACATACATAGTTATTTCGAATGAATTAATTTATTATGCAACTGTTGTTGAATATTTTCCTTTTGTTATGGGTTCGAGGCTTTTAGTTTACGGATATGGATTCACTTATTGTGCAAATTTGCTAAACAAAATCCCTAAGGACTGGAAGCTAAAAGCTATGGGCATTCGATGTCAGCAGCATTTATTGTATATAAAAGGGGTGGCGCTGAAGTCAAGCATTAAATACTTACCTTTTGTGCGCATTAGATATCAACTCTTTAAATAAATATCCATTAAACATATCGGTAAAAATAAGAACTTTTGGGTAATCACATATTTCTTTTGTCTTATCCATATTTCCATATATAAGTACAGTATCGGTCATATCAACGTAGAAAACTAAAAAAAAAAAGGAACAGTCCAGCGCCTTCGTCTTGGTCTGCAGGCTGTATCGGAGGCACAGCCGCTAAATTTAAACGTAGAATACGTGGTATGGCTAAGATCACATCCAAGTCAAAAACGAAAGCACACCCTAAGAAAAAATTATCGATAGCAAAAGCGATAGTAACATCGATAGCAAAAGCGATAGTAACATCGATAGCAAAATCGATAACAAAAACGATGAAAATATCGATAACCATCTCGAAAAACATATCGATAACTAAATTCTGAAAATTTTTTATATGGCATTAATGCGTAGGACAGCCAGCAAAAAAATTCTAAAAAATCAACGCGAATTTTTAGACATTTGAAATTTGCACATGAAACTGAAATTTAATGGGCTATAAAACTGCATACCTGATTTTTTTTTGTATTAAAGGGGTTTTTCTTAATTTTTGTAAACAGTATCAGTTTTGGATTTAAATGGGTTTTGCTAAAACATAAGCCATATTTTTAAACAAAATTAACAAAATATATTTACCATGTAAAACATCGCGAGTATTAACAAATGTAGCACACTTTTATTTTTTACAATATTCACAATGTTTTACGTGACACATTTTTTCTATATATAATATAGTAGATTCCATGATAAAAACATAGCAAGGTAGAACCGTTATCTCAATTTGTCGGCCATGATTTTTTTTTTAAGTTTGCCAGCATTTTAAAATCGTATAAAATTGAAAATAAAAAATTTAAATTGTTCGAAATTGTTGTTGCTTGAGATTGAAAATGAAAATGTGTGTGTGAGTTTGAGTAAATTTAAAAATTAAAATGTTTGGAAACGTCAAGAATTTTAAAAGTAACTCTCAGCGGTTCTACCTTACTATATTTTTATCATGACATAAACCATATAATTCAAATTTCAAAACTTTGTGTACAGTTCAGAAAAATTTAACAAATTTCAAAAAAATGTCATTAAAATTTTCAATTTTTTCCAGAATTTTTAGAAACTTTTTGGGTATGCAGTTTTGCGCAGGTTTGAAATACTGAAAAATACCGTTGATTTTTGAGCTTTTTTTTTTAGGTCGATGGTGTTGCGCATTTTCTCCCATGTAACGCATGAACAAAATCTATTTTTATATGGAAAAAAATAAGCAACCCCTCGAAAAAAGACAATTTTGATAAATTTTTTTTTGAAATTTGTTCAGTTTTCTTGAACTGTACACAAAGTACAGTATACGGTTTATGTTATAGCATCTACTATGTCTTAAAAAAAAAAATTTACGAAAAAAATGTATCACGCAAAACATTGTGAATATTGTAAAAAATAAAAGTGCGCTATTTAGGTGAACGCCACTGTATATGTGTAAGGATAATTAAAAACTATGTATGGATTAAAGTGCAAGTGAGACACCGGTTTTTACTTAATTTACTTTATTTTACGGAAAAGTAGATTTTACTCATTTTCATGATACACTAGAAGGGGGTTTCTTTACAAAGCCACACTTAGAAATATTTTCTTACAAATTTGGATTTACATTAATCACTAATGCTAGGAAAAGGTCGTTTTTGTCAAATAATAAAACTGATACAATTGTACAGCATATCAAAATTACATCTTTAATTACAATATTTATAATTCGAAAACATTTCCTATTACAACAAATTCCAAAGAATAATGAATATATTTATTGTTGGAAAGAATGGTGATAAAATTTAAACAGGAAAAATGTTCGTAATATATCTTCAATTTCTTTAAGTATATTGATAAATTTCATATTTAAGACAGTTTATTTCACAAACAGGAGATCTTAAATTTCTATGAAAAATGTTAGCGTTAATTTCATTTTGCGCCGTTCTGCAAATCATAACTAAACATACGTACATAAATAGCAATATTGCGATTTCTTGAATTCTCAAATTTATGATTCATCTATTTTTAACAGAAATGAACTTAATAAATCTATGCTATTGAAAAAAAAAAATCAAAACAATTCCATTGATCGGCGAAAAGAACACTAATGTCTTGTAATTACCGTCATACTTATGGATGCCTTATGCAAACAGATATGGCCAGAAGTGCTTAATCGGAGAAACTATCACTCCAGTAGGTTGTTGTGAGCGGTGCCACTGCTTTGAATAAGTCTTTTCCAACAGTATAACTTTCCACATCGAGCCTTATTTTCGCCACACGTTCCACACCTGGACAACGTCCTTCTTTATGCTTCTCTAACCGTGCCTCGGATACAAATTTTCGCTTACATTTCTCGCATTGATGCAACACACCCTGTTCGTCATGCTCCTCTACCAAGTGTCGACGTAATTCCGCCTTACTGCTGCCAGTATACTCGCATTTGCTACATTCAAAGCCGGATGGCTCATCGGTGTGTTTTTGCACATGCTTGCGATAGGCACCCTGTATCTTAAATATTTGTCCACATGTTTCACACTTGATGGGCTGTCGTTGATTATGCGCCTTTTTGTGTAGAATCAAGGAAAGTTTACGTGCAAACACTTGTTCACATTCGTCGCAAGGGAACTCACTGGGCTTATCTTCGGCCTCATCCGACTGTGGTGTATTCTTGGTTTTCCTTTTCTTTACTTGTTTCTCTTTTGGCTCCTCATCTTCGTCGCTGCTCTCCTCTTTTATTATTACTTCTGGTGATGGCAAAGACCGTTTTGAAGCTGGGCGCCCACCCACACGCTTCTTCTCTTTTACTTTTGGCGCCGGAGTAGCTGCGGCCGATTTGCGCTTACCCCTCTTAGCAGCTGCCACACGCGGGGACCGTTTCTTTTTTGGAGAACCGAAATCGGAATCATCGGAATCATCTTCGGCAGTTATTCCACCTTCGTCAGATACTTTGAATTCTACATCATCGTTAGGCTCCTCATCTGATGGATCTGAGTCCAATGTAGCATCTATGACCACATAGCCAGCCGGTCGCCGTACTTTATTCTTACTACGTGACAATTTTTTGCGTAATTCCCGCTCGGTTGTTTCACATTGCGTTTTCAGCTCCAAGGCGATATTTACTTTATCCAAACATGGATTGCAGATGAATTGCGGCATAAAATCCTTCTGAGCAATGGAAACTGTTGGGCAGATGATCATTAACTTGTCTGCTATAGTTTGCTTACTAGTTGCGTTAAAAAGACTGACAAGTGCTTCCTTGGACGTGCAGACACGGCACTGATTCTCATCTACTTGGTTCTCGATTTTGGCGGCTTCGCGTGCCGTGCTAGTGGGTTGCTCGTCATCTTCCACATATGTTTCATCATTTGATTTTCGGTTGGAATTCGCGTTTACTGCTTCATCTTTGCGTTTTTTGGGTAACTGTGTTAGTTTGCGCAAAACCGGCTTCACATTCTCTCCATCTTCCGCCTCCTCTTCTTCCTCCAACATCTCTTCGATAACTTCACCATCATTGTCTTCTTCGAGCGCTTCCACATTTCCCTCTTCAGCTTCTTCGACCTCTACTGGCCGGCGTGGCTTACGGCCGCGCTTTGTAGGGTTTACCGGTTTCTCAGCAGCCATGGGATCGTGCTGTAAGTGGGAAGAGCATTAGAACTTTTGACGAAAATTGTGTAAACCCTTCACACGGTCACAGAATAAGTAGGTACAGTTTCAGAAAATTAAAAATTGTATATAAATTGATTTCAAATCTGCGGTCACAGTTTTCCAACTGGCCAAAAATGTGTATATAATAAATTTTGCAGTGAAGGGTATACGTTTTTATTCAAATTTTATATTTTTTATATACTAAAGAGACAACTTTGCAACCTTTACCTCTTCCAAGTACTCGGCAACTCCTTCGTCCGTCTCGTTAGCACCGTTCGTTAACAACGCCTCATCGCTGCCGGCATCTATGCCACCACCCTCCTCAATCAATTCACTACTCATTTTCACCACTTTCCTTCGTCGGATTCACTCTTTGCTTATGGCCAAACAATTTCCTATTTGGGGCACACTTTCTTATGAATGTTTTTCGTGTTTTGTTTTTATTAGATATTTCTAAATTGTGTTGTTGTAATACGTTGTAGTTGTTGGTTTAATGTCACAAATTTGCCGCCATATGAAAATTTACGACAGAAGCGGCACCAGAAATTCACTTCTTATAATTACCCAATTACGATTACTGAGTTGGCAAACTTGTACCACAGCGATTTTACACAATGCTCAATTTATAGTAAAGCAGCCTTTCAATTGCACATTTACTTTTAAGAATTAATTTTCACACAACTTCTGCGAGTTTTACTAATTTTTTCTTCAGTGCCTTTTTCGCCGCCGCCGCACTACAAAAACAAGTGAAAAAATTCTATCCACCACAGCGTTCACAATAATGTAGAATTCTTAAAATTTTTATTGAATTTGTGCACTTCAACACTTTAACTTTGCACTTTAAGTATTTTAATGCATTTCTAAGTCAAATTAGCTGCGAAAAACTGCAGGACAAATTTTTTCACTATCTCGTGTCTACACCAAACGTTTTACGGCCATCTTGAAATGTGTGTAAGCAAAAATCGAAATAGAATTTTTCATTTGCACAATTGTGAATGATCAATAATCACTCGGCAGGGATGGTGCAATGCGTTAGAGCAAAGCAGAGCGAACCGTTGGCACGCATGCAAACGTCAAGTGAAGGCGTATCGTATGTGGCTGAGTGAAAGGGCAATAGTTGATGACGATTTTTGCTTTGAAAGCTACTTCGCAAAATGTGGTGAGAACCAGAGTTGCCGATGGATAAAAAAGGTACGGAGTAAAATGGCTTGCAAAAGTATTCGTTTATGTGAAGCACTAATCGATTTGAATTGAATTAAATAAACGCATGCGTTCAAATTTATACATAAAAAAAAAAAAAAAAAAAAATGGTATACGAGCTTTTATCTAAGAAAAAACCAAAAATGAGGGCCGATTGAAAGTTTTCTGTTGATTTGAACGTCACCAAAATTACTTGGTGCAAGTGAAAAATATAGAAGATATAAGATGTAAAACTTAAATTTGTAGATTTCTTATAATACCTACATATAGAAATCTTATAAATATACATAACCAATTTGAAAAAGTATTGAGGGCCATTTTGGGCCTACTTCAGAACAATTTCATGACTATTTTGGGACTAGTAGTTCGCGGTAATTTTTGAACTAGTTCTAGCCCATGCCGAAACTATTTCAGGAACATCTTGTGACTAGTTTGCGATAAAGCCGCACACAAATGTTTACTCATCGAATTTCAGGAGACCAGGTACTCATGCCTTTTTTAATATTTACAAGCCAAAAATACAAAAACTAAAAACAAGTAAAGTCTTTCAATAATGTTTTATTGTTTTTTTTTTTTTTGGAAAAATTGCACTATTATTACTGCTAGAAACATTTATACATTTATATATCTTCTTCTTCTTATTTGGCGCTGTAACCGCCTAAGCGATTTTGGCCGAGTCCAAAACAGCACGCCAGTCATTTCNTTTATATATATTGTGGTTAATTTTGGAGTACTCCTTGGCCCTTAGGGAGTACTCTTTACATGCATGCATGGAGTAGTCGCGATTTTTGCAGGGGACACGCCAGTTTTTTCATACCGTTTGACCAGACCGACATGCAGCACAAAACTACTCCTACAATGACATTGTTGATATAGTTTTTCGTTTGTACACGCTTTTGCTCTTCATTTCACAGATGCTTTTTCGCAATTAATAAAAACCAAAAACAAAAATAAAAAATTACATGTTGCCTCTTTTGGTATTCGAACCCGAACATGCTGGGAGCTAACAACTAATAGCCAGCATCTCTACACGTTCAGCTACAGCCAGACATGCAAACGTGCTTTCAAATGCTCAACTTCAATCACATTTCGTTAAAACACGGGGTAACAATAAAATGGTGCAGAGACACGAGTTGGTCCGCTACAGCATGATAGAGGAGCATTTTGAATACTAGAGTGCATCACTCACCAAACAAAAAAAAAAAAAAAAACAAAAATTAAAAAGCGGTACTGTTTTTTCATCAAAATTATACAATTTATTATATTATATTTTAAAGTACCCGCCAAAATGTTTGGAAAAATATTAAGATTTACGTGAGCTAAACCGGTTTGAAAATACCTCCAAGTATCGAGTTTTTTTTTGGTTTTAATAAGACTAGTTTTTAAAATATTTTTTTTCAAAAAATCCCCTCAGCTTATGGAAAATGTAAACTTAAAAGATCTACATCCATAAAAAAGTTTAAAAATTTTATCAATGCATGTAATAAGATTTTTGCATATATTTCCAAGGCGCTCGGCTCACGTAAATCTTAATATTTTTCCGATATATTTTGGCGAAAGTCTTAAAATATATTAAGTGTTATAATTTGGTGAGGCACCCTAATGAACATATATCTAAATATTTATTACAAGTGGAAGCAACTCGTCTATGCTGGTAGCTACGACTTTTTGAATCTGTATGCGCTTACATATATACCTGTTATGTTGCGGATATTCGCATTCGCATTCGCGAACGCGGAGATTCCTCATTAATTTTAATATTCGCATCCGCAGTTACAAAAAACGGGGGGAGTTCTTAACAAAATTACAAGAAAATAGAATTTTCTTCGAAATTTCCATCCTTGTAAAATGACAATTTGCCTGTGTAGCCTGTAGCGGTTTTAAGGAGCGATTTTGCCATGATAATAGATTCCTTGAGTGAAGACAATTAATAAAACTGAAAGTCCTCTCCACTGGTGGGACATAAAACGAAACGAATTCAAAATAATGTCAAATTTCGCGCGCAGATATTTGTCGCCTCCAACAGCAGTGTTCCGAGAGAGCAGTTATTTAGTGGCGCAGGTAAAAGGTCACAACATTAATTCTTATCAAAGAATTACCAAAATTATATTCTAATTATACTTGACATTCTCATCTGCGGTTGTCTAAAATTCCACATTCGCGACATCCCTAATATACACACTTCTATATAGTCCCGCTGCCTTGTGTAATAAATAGTATGGAAATTACAAGCTTCACAGGCAATTCTCTTAATGGGAAAATGAAGTATTTACTTCCATGCATCGGCAACTGGTAATTAATTTAATTACTTAGGCCAATGTAATTTTTAAATTTTATTAGTCTCGCTTAGACGACGAGTATCATGAGTAAAATATTTACTTTTGTACCATTTTGGCAAAACGTACGCCACAAATATGCGCCGCAGACATTTACAGCGGCGATAAGTGGCACGAAAATGCGGGATGAGTGGGTGGAGTGACTTTGGTGAAAAGAAATGCTTGTTGGAATTGTGGATCTACGTTTGTGGTTTTTGGATTCGTGTAAAGTAAGCATTTTTGTGGGAAGCGCATGCGATGCGCGGGTGAGTAGCGTAATATGATGAAGCAATAACCACATTAAAAGTAAGTCATTGCTCTGTCAAAGTAATGAGAACGGTAACATATATGTATGTATGTATGTATGTATTCAAATGTGATACACACGAGCGCTTTGAAGTGCTAGGGAATTTGCATTAGGGTGATACAGCTATAACGAAGAAATCCTCCGAGCAGGTCAAGAGTAGCATGGCAGGCTTCCAGAGCTAATTTTACGAAAGCATCTCGTGAAATCTAGCTGACTTGAATAGGCATAATTTGGTTAAATTATTTGACTGCCTAGTGTGAACTCTTTATAACCGCATCAGTAAATCTGCAATTATACTAGCAAGATGACCCACCCTAATAACAATTTGGCATAGAAGGGAACGACCCTACAAGAATTGTGATGGAAACTAAGGCTATCTGCACACTTGTCGTCCAATCATAGTTGCGTTATCGTCTCGCCCTGAAATTTTGAGCCGAGCACATGCATTTCAAAGGAGATCTGCACACTTGTCGTTATCGGCAAATCGTAGAAGATGCAGAAACGGATAAGTACGGCACTGTCGTTTGCTAATCGTTGTGCACGCATTGTTTGTTTACATTTTATGGGGGAAAATTAGTGAAAAAGTTAATATTTGCATTAAAATTGTATAAAAATTAGTATTTTTTTGCATAAAATCTGTGGAAATTATTAAAAAGTGGATAATTGCATTAAAATTTAATAAATATGAGCGTTTTAACTATAAAATATGACGAAATTGTATTAAGTCTCTGTGTGCATACACAAAACACATTCCAGGAAAAGAAAAGAAGAGATATTACTGGAAAATTACGTCTAGAAATGTTGCAGCACAGTCTATATTTAAAAAATTGCAGGTTTTTGTAAATATTTCGCGAAAATATCAACCAAAAAAAACAGAAAATACCTGCTCCAAGTGAATTTTTAGACGCCAAATGAATTGAAATATCACGACCAAGTGTGCAGAAGTGTAATCGTCATGTAATCGTTGCTTCATGACGATAACTATGACTCAACTATGATTGGACGACCAATGAGCAGAAAGCCTAACACATTCTCATTTATCTTACTAACACATTTGCAAATTTTGCGTTGGTTAAAAAGAGACCAATATATAAGGCCATAAGTTGGAGGAAGACGGAAGATCATATGTACACAAATGTTTACATCAGATTTTTCACACTGCCCTTTAGAATGTGATAGAAACTTGTAGGTAGCCAGTGACAGAAATCTCTATCAGCCTTGCCAGTCAAGAATGATAGAATACAAGATTGCGCCGTCCTGGGCGTTGACATTTGTATACCACAAGTAAACAAAGAATAGAGCGAAAAGAAGAACGAGTTGAAACAGCCAAAACAGTTCACTTTACTGCGAAAAACGTTTTCTAAGTTTGCTAAATGCGAAAATATTGCATTTTTCACCTAAGCTATTAGATAACAGTGAACATTGTGGTGCACTCCATTGCTTTGCAATTAAGGCTGCTGCAGAAAACTGCAGCAGCATCTCTGCGGGACTGATTAGTTGACTTGCTAATGGAGACTGCGTGGAGCAGAAACAAAATCATTGTGAGGAAATGCTGTTAATATAATAATAGAGAAACATTTCGGGAACGGCTTTGCCGTGCCCTATGTACACAAAATGCAGTGATTCGTCCCAGCGCTACACTTGCATCTACGCTTCTTGCATCTTGACACAGCACTTCATAGTATTAGTTTTTACGCAGTCTTCAACTCAAAAATCACTTACAAATTGCAATTAACACGATTTAAACTAATTTTTCACTTATAATTCTACTTTCTCTTTCGCTGATTTGTAAACGAAGGTTTATTTACAAGTTACCACAACTGTCAAAATCGGCAAAACCAAAGTAGCGGTACCACTGACGGCGCCACCTTTGTTCGCTGCACCGTGCTTGCCAGTCAAATGATTTGTCAAATGATGGTCACTGTTCTTGCAGGGGAGCTTATGAATACATATGTGTAAGTAAGCACATACATATGTGCATATGTACATTATGTTCTATCACAGCTACGCTAAATGCTTTGAGCGCCGCCAGCCTTTGCATACATTTGCTAACTTTCGTAACGCATGTCAGAGATAAGCCAGCGCAGCGCTTCCACGCTTATTGCTGCCTCATTCAATTTCGTTTGGTGCATACGCTTAACTTTGAAA